GGTCTACAGCTTAATTTTAATTGAAGGTTCGTATAAGACGGAGCCATATGAAATCTGCATATGTGTGAAACTGCGGCTGAGGAGACTGGCAATCACATCACTTCGCACCACATGTGAAGTCCTGAGTACCTAAATTCTTTTAGCATCCATTGCTAAAAAGACATTGTTTCCCGTGTGAAACTGGATTGCTTTCTCCTTTCTGACAGGAGATAATTTATTTTTGCTGTGGTTGCCGGGAAGCTCAGGGCTAAGTAGAAGAGTCAGCTGTTAGCTTCTGTTTGCTTCCTCACCCTTTCCCTGGTCCCAATCACTGGTCTTCTCTTAGTTGTGGTTGTTTGCTATAGGCTACCTCAAATTCTTTTTTGGAAATATATGAATAACCTCTGGTAGAAGACTATGTATTTGATTTAAAGGGCCTCCTCTTTGTCTCACGGACAGGGAGTCAAGCCATTACCTTTCCTACATAAAGCAGAGCACAGCTGTGCAGTGGGTCTGCCTGTGTCACCCTTCATACTGGAGTTCCATGACAAGTGTGTGTTGGTGCAACCATCACCACTGTCCATTTCCAGAACTCTCTCATCCTCCCAAACAGAAACTCTGCATCCGTTAAACAATATTGTCCCCTTCCCGAATCCCTGTAACCTCTATTCTTCTTTCTGTCTCTATTGAATATGTCTACTCTGGATACCTCGTATAAGTGGAATCATGTAATATTTGTCCTTTTGTGACTGGCTTTTTTCACTTAGCTTAATGTCCTCAAGGTTCACACATGTTGTAGCATATCAGAATTTCCTTCCTTTTTAAGGCTGAATAATATTCCATTGTATGTATATCACATTTTGTTTATCCGTTTACCCATTGATGGGCACTCGGATTATTCCCACCTTTTGGCTATTGTGAGTAAAGCTGCCATGGACATGGATGTAGAAGGATCTGTGAGGCCCTTTCAGTTCTTTTGGATATGTACCTAGGAGTGGCATTACTGGAGCGTATGGTAGTTCTATTTTCAGTTTTTGAGGAACTGCCATACTGTTTCCCAAAGCAGTTGCACTATTTTACATTCCTGTCAACAGTGCACAAGGATTTCAATTTCTCTGCTTCCTCACCAACACCTACTTTCTGTTGTTGTTTATATAGTAGCCATTCCAGTGAGGTGATATTTTATTGTGGTTCTGTAAATGAGGTACCTTTTTTTCCTTCTGGAACACATGGTCCCTTATCTGAGCTTATCTTGCACCTCTGGTCCCTTGACTTACACCTCTTGTCTTTTGTAAAGACTCCAACTGCCTCAGCCTTTGGTGTTGAAGCTCCAGTGTCTGGCAGGGGCCAGATTGTGCAGGGCATGGTAGGCCGAGGGAATGAATTGAGAATTTATCCTCAGCCTATATTTAGAAGAATATGCCACAGACTAAAAGATAATTCCTCCCTGTATCGGGCAGCGTTGATGCTGGAGTGAATGGTGGTGAGTGATGATTGCTATCTGACGACATTCAGACAAGGGGATCCAGAATACCCACTCCTGCAAGTCTGGCCACCTTGTCTCCTGTGAGGCTCTAAACAGGAAACAATGACAAAGGACAGCTGAGTGTCACCTGATCACTACTAGGGCTTGTGTAAAACCACTGTACAGAGCCCTGTGACTAATAAGTGAGAGTATGTGGAGTTCATCCAGCCTGTTTTACACATTGGGCTTCCTAAGACCAAGGGACACATTGATAGCCCTCCTTGGTTTGAAGGGAAGATCTTCCTTGACTGTTTACATCTGTATATTAATTTCAGTGCCCTCCTCAGTCCTCCTGATTCCCTGTCCCGTGCTTGCATCATCTTCTCTACAGTGACTTTCCCCAGGGTGGTAGGGACAGCCAAGAGAAGGGACTGTGGCTTGCTGTGGACATCTGTGAGCCTTTTGAAATTGAGGAGAGAGAGTCTTGTATTCATCTTTGTACCCTGCTTCTAGCCTGAGCCAGGGCTCAGCAACTATTTCATTAAAGAATGAGAAAGAAATACTGGTCAGATCCCTACACCTTCCCCCTGTTCCCTATAGCCTAACATCCTCAGGATACAGCCTGGATACAGTCTGCCCATCAGCAGAGATGTCCAGTGTGATCATTGTGTCAGGTGGAGCTGTGCTAGGGAAATCCACATGGAATGGCTGAGTAGAGGCATCTTTCTTCCTCATCCCACTCATAAGCACTTAACAAGGCAAATAATTCGGGAGTGTATATTAACTCCAGCTCAGGGTACCAGGAAAGCCTGCACCTCAAAGTCAGTGATCATTTGGAGAAACTTCCAGTTATTTCCCTGGAATTCAGTGTGCTCTGGAGACAGTTCCACCAGCGTGTGTGGTCGCTGAGGAATGCTGCCTCTGGCTCTGGACCTCCTTGGCTTCAGTTGATGGTGGGCATCTGCCATGAAGAGCATCCCCCAATTGTTAGCAGTTCAGGGCCTGATCCATAACAAGGACAAAAAGCATAAAGTTGATGTAAAACATGCTGCTGTTGACAGAGTCTGTGTTTCTAGTCTTGCTGTCTCTTAATATATAATGATGTGGTGTTTATATTTGCTCATTTAAAAAATAGTTTTTGATTACCTGTACTATTTGATGTTGGAGATAAAATGATAAGGAAAAGCAAGGTCCCCTTAGAGCTTCCCTTTAGTAGAGGAAAGATGATACATAAGTCAGATCAGAGGGTGATGATTGCCATGACGACAGGATAATGGAATGGGGACTGAGCAGGGGGAGGAGATGGAACCCCATGCTTTAGATAGGGAAGAGCTTGGTGAGGAGGTGGCATTTGAGCTGAGAGCTGGATGTAAATAGAGATTTGAGTGGAATCAGTCTTAGCAAAAGAAAGGGAAGCCCTGGGCAAACAGGAGATTGGCATGTTCCAGGGATGGAGAGAAGGCCGGGAATGTGAACAGAGTATTGTGAATGAGGGGGAAGGTAGACAGATGAGGCAAGGACCAGATAGATCAGTGGTTTTCACCTTGACTGCACGTTAGAATTATCTGAGGGACTTACAAAAATTTCCAGTGCCCAAGCTCCACTCCCAAAGATTGTGATTTAATTGGCTTTGGGTGGGGCCTGGACATTGGTATTTTATAAAAGCTCCCCAGGGAGTTCCATGGTGCAGCCTGAGTTGAGAACATCATCAGTCTTGATCATGCAGAGTCTTACTGACTCTGGTAAGGGGTTTGGACTTTAGTTAAACCAAGGGGAACCGTTTGACAGTTTGGGCTCGGGGAGTAACATGATCTGACTTTGTCCTTACGAGGCTCACTGTGGCCACAGTATGGGGAGTAGAGGTAGGAGGTTGTTCAGGTGGTTCAGCTGAGAAGTGATGCTGGCTTGGACCAAGGCTGGTATCAGTGGAGATGGTAAGAAGAGGTCACTTTGGGTATAAGTTTTGGAGGTTGCACTCATAAGATGGATTGGGTTTAGGATATGAGGCAGAAAGAAACCAAAGTTGCCTGAGAGTTAACCTGAGTAACTGGATAGATGGTGGTGCCGTTCACAGAAATGGGAGAGATGGGGCAATAACGGGTGTGAGAGGAGGGGGAATAATTGTGTTCGTTGGTTGGAGTGAAAGCCTCAGGCTTCTCTTCTCTCTAGATTGAGATAACTTGATACAGGTATAGGCAGTCAAATAAGGTTGACCAGGGGCCGGCCCAGTGGCATAATGGTTAAGCTTGCGTGCTCCCCTTTGGAAGCCCAGGATTTGAGGGTTTGGATCCCAGACATGGACCTACACACCACTCATCAAGCCATGCTGTGGCGGTGTCCCACATACAAAAGAACAAAAAATAGAGGAAGAGTGGCATAGATGTTAGCTCAGTGACAGTCTTCCTCGGGCAAAAACAAGATTGGCACAGATGTTATCTCAGAGCCAATCTTCCTCACCAAAAAAAAAAAAAAAGTTGACAAAAATATTCTGAGAAATCCTGTTCCTATAGTGCTAAGAGTTTTCTTGAAATCTTCCAAAGGTAAGAACCAAAGCAATTGACTATCTTAGTGCATGGAACCTGTGATGAGAAGGGAAGAGGAGCCTCTTTGATTCAGGAATCAGGCTGGATGTTGGGGAAGGATGTACTTTGAGAGATTGCATGTAGTTAACCCCTGTCTTGCTACAAGAATTAAATGGTATACTGATATATAGAATCCAAAATAGGTTAAGATATTTGTATTTGACTTTAAGGGGATTTTTTTTTCCCCAACAAAAGTATCTTCTAAGATATGTCTAGTTCACATTCAGATTATAATTAATTTTCCTTCCCTGACCAGGCCCTGAGTGTCCAGCATTAAAAATAACCCAGATTTTTAAGTCAGAATCAAATTCTTAAAATTGCTTACAAGACTTTTACATGGAGAACAAAATGGAATTTGTTAGAACAGCTTATTTTTGCCCTGATGGAAGAAGTGGGTGAGACTGCAATGGTGGAGCATGTTAATTGGTTATATCAGAAAAAAGTCCTGATTGTAAGTTCACTGAGGGCAAGGACTGTCATTTGCACAGTTTGTGTTTTTTACAATACCTGGTGTCTCTGCTCATTCCAGGGCTTTTTGTTTCATTTGTTTAGTAAAGTTACGAGATCTTCTTTGCAGAAACTCTTTCGAGAGCTAGTGCTTGTCTGAATGGCTGAGGAGGAAGGTTGACTGGAAGGCTTCGGCAGTCCCAACAGCTTCCGGGACGCTGCTTTGTTCTTACTAAAGAAACTCGAGATGTGGCTGCCTTCTAGTAGAGACAGGAGAATTCAGTGTGGCGTGGCTGTCTAGAAAATGGCCAATGTCTGAAACTCCTTAACGAAGACTGTACATTGGCTCCCAGCCCCAGAAGCAGTGCTGGGAGCCTGTGACATTAGGCTGCATGGCGCTAAACTTTGAAATGTCAAGCTTCATTGCCGTTCCATTTTCCTTGGATGGGTTCATCATGGTAAGCCGCATGTTGAGCGTTCATTGCCTGCCTGCCTCCCTGACCCATCTTGTCCACCTTCACCCACAGATAACTGCAGTGACCTGAACTCCGAGCTGCAGAGGGTGCTGACGGGGCTCGAGAATGTCGTCTGCTGCAGGAAGAAGAGCAGCTGCAGCCTGTCGGTGGCCGAGGTGGACAGGCACATCGAGCAGCTCACCACGGCCAGCGAGCACTGTGACTTGGCTATTAAGGTAGCCCCCCTCCCCCGTCCGGCTCTTGGAGAGCGTCTGAAGGAAAGGAGCAGAGCTGCCTCCTTTGAAGTGTTGTTTTCTCAGATACCTGTTAAGAATGAATGTCTCTGAGAAAGCCATACTATAGATCGGGCCACCAGGGAGAGGCAGGAGCCCTGTAAATTTTTGTTGGGCTGAATCACATTAGGAAAAGTCATTACATCAACAGTCAAAATCACTGGCTTTGCCAAAAAGAATGACAATTTCCTTGGTTCCTTGGAACCACATTATTTTAGTATGGTTCATCCTGTAGCATTTTTAGGTTGTAAGATTAAGTTGGAAGTTTTATTAAAGCTTTAAGGCCTCTATAATCTTATTTCAGGAGTTATCAATCCATGGTTCTAACGAGGGGGAGGTGCAGGGCCTGCACGCATCATCTATCCTGAGCACACTGGGCTGGGTCTCAGCCACGCCTTTCACACGCATTCATCTTACTGCTTAGGGAGGACCAGGTGAGAGGAATGTGCTGCATCTGCACACACTCATCGTGAACAATGGGAACGTCAAGTCCTGATGATACTGGGCCTCTGGTGTCTTTGTATTACTTCACCATAGCCTGCTGACCTGGGCATAGCAATTCAAACTGAGGAGTCTGGGAGGAACCCATGTAAACGGAAAATGTGATGTTTTATTTGAAAAATGTCTTAGGACTCTAGGCCCAAGTTTCTATCAACAGGCATCCTGGATTTCACAAAAGAGCTGTGGTTCCCCTAGGTAAACCATGATTCGTGTTTGTAACACAGCTGGTTTTCCAGCTTTATTCATCTGAATTGTAAGTATACGGTTGGTGTGGTTTGGGTAGGCAACCACTGGCGTTTCTTTCTCTGGAGTCTCCCAGGCCCTATATTTGATGTAATGTCGACTTGGATACTAGCCCTAGCCTCAGCATTGAGAGGGAAGGAGGAGGCCAAGGATTTCTGCCAACCAGCAAAGGACAGAGCGGGGCCTGGAGCAGGGCCGGGTGGAATAAGAGTCTCAGATTTGAGAGGAAGGACAAAGCACCACATGTGGAGAGTGGCAGCCAGATTTGGGTATCTGTCTTCATCAGGGAACCACGTGAGCATCTAAGAGCGACGTACCCACACATTTTTCATTTTTGAGACCTTCTGTTTCTCATCACATGGCTTTGCTGCCTTCTGCCCCTACATAGCAATTCTCCCTCCTCTTTCCATATCAGTTGTCTTATACTTCCTTTTCCAAAGGACAATAAACGTGAAGGAATAGTTTCTGAAAGCCAGCAGAATGAGTTCTTCCCTTTTTTTCTAATTTTATCTATGTATAAAACCATTAATACAGTGTTTCACATGAATTTTTTAAAAATTCTCCAACTACTATTAAGATTCTATTTTAGCTCATAGCTGTCTTATTAGTTAATTAAATCCTGGCTGTCTTAGAAACCTCCACCGTGAGCTTCCTCTTTTCTGTGTCACTGAGGTTTATTTTTGTCTTTCACATCTTGGGACTGAAGCTCATTCCCACCCTCTGAATTCTGATGTGACACTGAAAGCTGGAAATGGTGATGTGACCTCTTGTATTGCTGAGTTGGAACACAGGAGGCCTATAATTTAGGAAGCTTCTAGTTAGATTTCGTATGCAGTTTGCCACTTCACATTTGCATTATCAGGATCACTAATTGGCTTGCTGTCTGGTTATGCGTATTCACCAACTCTGGAACCTGGACAAAGGAGATAAACATCTGTGTGGACATGGCAGTTAGTGCCACAGGTAAACTTAGACACCAGGAAGGGACTGATTTTCTTACTCTGGAAACACGCACTATGACCCAGGCAAGTGACAGAGCCTCATCTGAAAATGGAGAGAGAGGATGATTTAGGGGGTGTCACTAGTCGTGATTACTGTCTACAGTGAAGGGGCTCCAGAACTCATTCCTCTGTGGACACTCCCTCCAGTCTGGCCTGTTTTCTCCCCTTCCCTTTTCTCCAAGGTAACTCACTTGGCTTGTCTTTGTGGCTGTGTTTTCCAGACAGTCGAGGAAATTGAGGGGGTACTCGGCCGGGACCTGTATCCCAACCTGGCTGAAGAGCGGTCTCGTTGGGAGAAGGAGCTGGCTGGGCTGAGGGAAGAGAATGAGAGCCTGACCGCCATGCTGTGCAGCAAAGAGGAGGAGCTGAACAGGACCAAGGCCACCATGAATGCTATCCGGGAGGAGCGGGACCGGCTCCGGAGGAGGGTGAGCACGCCAAGTCCCACGCGGCTGGGCCTTTCCCAGAGGGTATAGAGCCACGAGAAGCCATCAGGTAGAGCCCAAGGCAGCCCCAGGAATTTTGTGGCATTTGTAGTCTTGGGAATCACCATCCCCATCTTGTTAAGAAGTCATTCTTGAGAGGAATGTAGTTTGAAAGTGTGAGGTATGGAGGTAAGATTTTTAAAAAAAAACTATTCTCTGGAATCGCAAACCTAAGTGGATGATAAAATTATATCAGAGCACTGATTCACAAACCATTCTCCAGGGTACACACGTCTTTCCCAAACTCAATTAAAATGTTCTTTTAAGATAGACTAATAATAACTTATAATTTGTAAAAGTATGTAGAATTTTCCCCTTTACCATTTCTTCTTTAAATTTTTCTTTAAGTATAGTACGTGCTCTCACTTATCTATACTGAGTCTTGTATGAAATGTTATCTCTTCTAGTGTAGACTAAAGTTAAAATAATCAAATATATGTATTTATGTATGTTCTGTACAAGTGTATGTATGTATGTGTCATTCCTGGTACGTACCGCAGTGTACCAATGGCTCTTGGCCTGAACCAGTCTGAGAACCCCTTTATTTAGGAAATACATCCATTACTATAGGAGCTGTTTTTTCAGGATAGAAATGTTTGGCAGAGTCGCTGAAGCACTCAGTTTTCCAAAGATAGAGTTTTTTTCTCAGGACCCCACAAGTACTTCTTTGTTTGGCTGTGAATTTGATCTGTGGTTGGACTTGGGGTGAAGCAATGAACTCTTCAGTCAGAAACGGTTTCCTCTGAACTTCACTTTGAGTTTCTAGACCTACTTTACTCTCTTTCTCAATTGTGGCAATATTAGAAGCTTGCTTTTTAGTGGCGCTTGGACCCGTAATTTTGCACATAGATAAAGTTGAATTAGTGAGGAAAAAAATACATCTAGCAGAATTCATCATCCTTCATCATTGCACTTTAACTTGTTCTTCCATAAGGACAGCATATGTAAATCATTGTTTTTAATCCACATGCAAGTTTTCATGGTTGCTATTATATATGAATATGGAAGAAATTACTATATTTGAACATTATCAACTGTTTTCCTCATTTGTGACTAATGTCATAATTAAAAGGCCAGCGTTCCTATCTCTCATATCTGAAATCATTTTGTTTGAACTCACATGCAAAAGCTTATTTTCAGCACCCAGCTGTATCGGCTGCCATTCTCCACACTTGCATCAGCGGGTGTAAATCATCCCAGTCAGCAAAGGCTTTATCTGGGCAGCTGATGAGGTTCACTTTGTGCTCAGGCCCACACCACCTGTGATTTCCTGGTTACCCTCCCTGGTCATTATGACTAATGCCCTAATTAGGTGTGCTCGCTCTTAGCGGGCGTATTCTCATGGCGTGTCTTTTGTGAAGGAAATGTTGGTCTTAGATGTAATTACATATTGTGGTTTAGAATAAATTTCCTCCTCTAACTTGAGTTACTAAAGCACAAGACAGCCCTTAATTGTGACTAGCAAAAGATGAAAAGCCAATCCTCCTTTGAGTTTTTTCTCCAACTCTGGAGGTTAGTACTGATATCAGCATAGTGTTAATACGTGGTACACTATGTGCCCGGGCTCTGGAGTATGACCCTCTGTGGTCACAGCCTGCCCTACCAAGTCACCATGGGTCTTTGGCAACTTACCTAACTTCTCTGTGCCTCAATTTACTCTGCCATGAAGTGGGGATGATAATAATACCAAGTGCAGGAAAATTAGATAATACTCACAAAGCACTTAGACTGTAGCTGGTACACAGTAAATGCTCAAAAAATGTTAGTAGTTGTTTAGGGTGAAATTCAGAGTTACGTGTTAAGCTGTCTGGAAAGTTTAGCACCGTATCTTTTTTTTTTTTTTTTTTTTTGAGGAAGATTAGCCCTGAGCTAACATCCGCTGCCAAGCCTCCCCTTTTTTGCTGAGGAAGCCTGGCCCTGCGCTAACATCCATGCCCATCTTCCTCTACTTTATATGTGGGACGCCTACCACAGCATGGCTTGCCAAGCAGTGCCATGTCCGCATCCGGGATCCAAACAGGCGAACCCCAGACCACCGAAGTGGAACGTGCACACTTAACCACTGTGCCACTGGGCTGGCCCCTTTTTTTTCCTCCCTAAGAATCCATAGATATTTGAAGAACTCATAAACATTTAATAACTATACACACATGCACACATGCACACACACTGTAGTCAAAACCTTTCTTCTGATCACTTTTATTACCTTTAAGTTTTGCACTTAATATGGCTTTATATAAATGTATATAATGTACATTTCAATTACCTCCAAATAAAAATATGTTGAAGAACTTGTATCTCTTCCTCAACTGGAAATATTCTCAGGAATTTGTATACATACCCATGAATTGGATTTATTTCTCGACAATTGTGGGTCTCATAGAATTTGCTAGAAGCCTTTGAATGCCAATTTACTAGACTTCAGATGCTAGATGACTTCTACCTACCACCACCCAATATTTCGTTTTTCTGTGGAGGAATCTGTCTTTTGTGGTTGATTGTCTTCTGTTCTTCATGATGTGTAGCCCTGTGGAGTGACCAAGGTGTGGTTTCATTTCTGTCCCTGTGATACCATGTGATCTATGGCTGGTTTGCCTTTGCTATCTTTACAGCATCTCTGAATCCACAGTTCATCAAAGTTGCAGGCAAAGCACCTGGGGTCACTTTTTTTTTTCCCATTGCCCACATTTATTGTATAGAATTTGAACTGACCAGATCAATAGGATTGGTGCTTGCCCCTTGCCTGTAATTAAACAAAGTGCTCTCAGTAGGCTTTCTGAGCCTTGTTCAAGATTTAATTAAATTAGATCATTAATGTCAGCTAACAGATTGAGCTACTTGGCAGAGCAGTAACTAAGGAACAACAGGCAGACAATTTTTTTTTATTGGTCCCAGCTCATTATTAAATGAGATAATCATTTATTTCTACATGCTCTGTAATATAACCACTCCTTTCCTCACACTTAAAGAAGCAGGCTTAATTTAGGCAAGGTAGAATTAATTACTCTAGAAAGGAAGCACTTTGTTCTGCATTTATTCATTTCGTAAACATGATTGGTCGTCTCTTCTGTGCCAGGCAGAGGGGTTACAGTAATGAACAGGACACAGTCCCTGGCTTGATGGGTGTTAGGGAGACAGGCAAGTAAACAGGTCATTACGATGGTGTATGTCAAGTGGTAGGGAGAGGTGAACACAGAGGGTGCCCTGGGAGCTCATAGGAAGGACACGTGATGGGAGATCCAGCTTCTCCACACTATTTGCATTTTTTCCCTAATTGTTTAGGTCAACTGCCATGTAGCAAAAATGAATGCTTTCTCCAGATAGTTCACTAAAGCAAACTGGATGTGACCACAGGCTCGTGAGTCTCTGTCCCATTGGATCACAGACTTAAGTCAAAAATGGGCCACACAAGTTCCCTCTGAGATTTTGTACAAATTCTTGGGAAAGTTCCACAAATTCATGGCATAAAGTGATTGTAGCAGAGTTTCTTCCTTATACCACGTGCCCCACCTCATTATTTTCAACATGTCTGGAAATGAATCCCATCACGTTTCCTGAGCTTCCTTCATCCTTGGGGTCTGGCTTCTGCGTTGACCCTCTGGTCATCACCACAGTAAATGCAAGAGACTATAAGACACGCTGTTTTGAACCAAATAAAAATCACCCAAATCTGAAGTTTCCCCCTCTCTACTTACCCAGTCCTCCTCACAATGTCTTAAAAACTCTTAGTATTAGTTAATTAACTTGGTGTGGGAGCGGAGAGGGCAGTATTTCCACCACTGATAAGAAGATACAAGTGTTTGTCTTTTCTGAACCAATTACTCTTGATTCCTAAATGCAGCGTTACATTTATGAAGGGATTTCATTGTTCTGTTCATAGGACCTATGTAATAAAAATGGAATCACCTAGTTCAGCTAAAGTTTTTTAAAATATGAACGAGGACTCTACACTGCAGATTTTTCAGTGGCTGCCATTTGGCTCCTTAGCTAGGAAAAAGGACGGGTGAACTTCCAGAATGCTGGCGTGCCCATTTCCTTGCCCCTCACCTCGTCCTTTTTTTTTCCCCCCCTTAAAGATTGGCACCTGAGCTAACAACTGTTGCCAATCTTCTTTTTTTTCCCCTGCTTTTTCTCCCCAAATCCCCCCAGCACATAGTTGTATATTTTAGTTGTGGGTCCTTCTAGTTGTGGCATGTGGGACACCACCTCAGTGTGGCCTGATGAGCAGTGCCATGTCCGCGCTCAGGATTCAAACCAGCGAAACCCTGGGCCGCCGAAGTGGAGCGCGCGAACTTAACCATTCAGCCATGAGGCCGGCCCTTCGCCTCGTCCTTCTTAACAGAAAGTAACCCCAAATCCGTGGTAACATAGCCTTTTTTAGGAGAAAGGAGTCAGGAAAGGAAGGGTGCAGGTAAGAAGAAATTTCCTTTACACATTGTCACTCTCTGAGGACTCATTTACTCTGTAAGCTTTTCAAATTAGCAATCCTGTCATTTACTCCTTTGGGCTACTTTTTTTTAACTTATGATTACAGTTTTATTTTAGCAAAAAGATACAAATCAGAACCAGCCAAAATAAAAGATGCATAGTTGAAGCCTGGAAGGGGTCCAAATGCAAAGCTTCCAGTTGTCTTCTCCCTGTTGAGTCCTGGATGGTGTTTCTTCCTTAAGCTATGATGAGTGACAATACTCAGAGGATTGCCAGCCAGGGAAGTTCACCCAAGCTTCAGTACCCAAAGTTTTCATTTGGGTTTCGTTGTGTAGGTGTGATTGATTGAATCATTAGCCATGGGGTTGAACTCAAATTTCCAGCCCCTTCTCCTTCAGGGATCAGGCTGATATCCTTTGGGCCTTTTTTTTTTTTTTTTTTTTTTTTTTGTGGAAGATTAGCCCTGAGCTAACTACTGCCAGTCCTTCTCTTTTTTGCTGAGGAAGACTGGCCCTGAGCTAACATCCGTGCCCATCTTCCTCTACTTTATATGTGGGATGCCTACCACAGCGTGGCATGCCAAGCAGTGCCATGTCCACACCAGGGATCCAAACCAGCAAACCCCAGGCCACCAAGAAGCAGAACATGCGAACTTAACCACTGTGCTACCAGGCTGGCCTTGGGCCACTTTTAAGTTTGTGATTATGACAGGTGTGATGGAGCTGCATTGCATCTGCCCACGTCATTCTCATACAGTAGAGATCCTGGAGGTTGTAGGGGATTCAGCACTGTTTTGCTCATCCAAGTGTGCAACACGCAGATCTAGCACTTGTCCCATGAACTCACTGACTGAGGCGATTTACAGGGCATCCTCTTATATGGCCCGAAGGTCCTCCCCCAGAGCTGTTAGTTCTGAATCCATTGGTGCTACTTTCTAAATACTGAACTGATTTTAAACACTGAATCGAATCCACCTTCAGTAGTCACCCGGGTTATCTCTTGCCACTTGCCACTCTATGATCATGCTTAAAGGAGTTGACAAGAGGAATCCAAATTAAACCAAGGGACCTGCTTACAAAGAGTAATTACCTTAAAGGTTGACTGTGTATTTTATTATGTACTTCTTTCTACTAATTAGTTCATTTATAATATATATTTACTATTAGGCTGCCCATCCCTACTGGGAAAGAACATTTGCAGTATCATCCTGATGTGTCCAGAGCGTGGTCTGTCTCTGAAGCAGCTGTTCACTTTGTCTGCATTGTCTCCTGTTATATACTAAGTCAATATCTCTTTGATATTTTTAACTAAAAATCGGTAACAGTAGAGATATTTCTGGAAGTGAAATCGTTGTGACCTCACCGTAGGTTAAATAAAGATTCATCTTTGTTTCACCTTATTTGGCCTTATGTCCCATCTGGGCTCTTCCCACACTGCCTCCCCCTCCATGATGCTTTTCTGGACCACAGTGTCTGTATATGGAAAATGCAGGACTGCAGAACAGTACTTTGTATTTACTTTGAATTTATCTGTGTATAAATTTACATCAACTATATATGTGTATGTGTAAAAATATCTTAAATAGACAAGAACAACATAAACCAGTCTCATAATAATAGTTATTTGGGGATGGGGGCAAGCTCCTAGGAGTATAGGTCAAAGGGCTTGAACTTTTCTATAGTGTTCTAGTGTATTTTTGACATGAATATATTCTTATATAAATTTTACTATGTACAAGTAAACACATAGAAATAGGGGAGAAGCTAATATGCCAAAATATTAACAGAGGCTAAATCAGACAGTGAAACGATAGCCATATTTTTCTTCTTTATATTCTTCCTTAATTTTCAAATTAACAAATGCAGTATGGATTATGGACGTTGATCTGTGTCTTCCAGCTTTAACAACCTGATGTTCATACACAAGCACAGTCTTCTCTTTTGTCCTTGATGGAACTTTGTTTATGTCTTATTTGTTCTATTTCTTCTTAGGAGTTTCTTTATATGATGAGGAAGAAGATGCCAGTATTAGCTAAGTTTAAATTCACAAAATATTTGTATAAAACAAACCCTGTTTTAACACTCCCAGCCCTAATCTGGCCGTGTAGGAGGGAGCTCAGAGGAGTGGGGTCTGGCTCCAGTACTCTCCTCCCCAATGTCAATTTGGGAGTCTTAACTGACTCTTCTTTGCATGGCTGATATATTAGTCAGAGTAATGATAGGTATACAGCAGTAACAAACTAACCCCCCAAAATTCAGTGGCATGGCACACCAGGAAAGCTTATTTCTTGCTTGTACTCCACGTCCAGTGAAGTTTTGGGGATAGGCGCACAGCTCTGTTCCGTATATTCACTCAGGAACCCAGGCTGATGGCAACCCATCATCTAAACATCACTGAACGGACTCACCCCTGCACTTAAATGCTTCCACTCATGGCCCATTGGCCAGAACCAGACCCTCTACCTAACCATAGAGGGGCTGGGAAATAGGGAAGAGCATGGGAATGTTTGTTGAGCAGTAAAGATTCCAAACACAGGTGGCTTATTTGCTTTGAGTGGGATACCAGATAGACTTAGACATGAACCAGAGTGCCAGAGAAACAGGCCTTTTCACTCATCCATCTTGTGGTGGCTCTCCACGTGTGTGTCAGAATCATTGGGAAGCTCTTTCAAAGGATATATGCCCAGGCCCTTCCATGAGCCACTGAATCAATGAATGCAGTGTAGGTCCCCAGCACACTCCCCCACTGTGATCCCAACAAGTGCTCAGAGACAGGAAAGAGAAGGCAGTGTCCTTCAGTCACCCACTGGACATGAGCCGAGAGCCTCTCCAGGCCTCTTTACCTCTCTCCCCACAGGTGCAGTGAAGAGAGAGAACCACAGCCTTTCTGGCACCTTCGCCTCATACCTGGCCTGCTCCTCCTGGGGCCCAGAGTGTAGCAGTGATGAACCCTGCATCTGAAAAGGAGGGGCTCTGTCCACTCTCCAGGGTCACATGAGCCAGAGGAGGGAGGGCAGAGAGGGGTGTGCTCATCCTGGAATCCAGCAGGACATCGGCACCCTGGGGCTCCAAGGGCAAGCAGGCATTGCCTGGCACAGTGCAGAACTTCCTGTGCCATCCAGCGAAGGGGGACAGGCAGTTCGTCAAGGTGCACTTACCAATAGTCTTTTTTCTTCAATGCAATCTTGATAGTGTATTTTTAAGGACCTGTTAGTATTGGTAGCGTTAACCTTCTTTGAACATTTTCAGACTAAACATTCCCCTCTTGGACTAAAAATAGATACTTCTGAAGGCAAAGCAGGACTTAAAACCTAAATTGTAATAGTGAACATATTTTGAGCATTTCCTTGTGGTGAGCAATGATTTATGCACCTCTCATTTCATCTGCACCAGAATCCTACAAGAGGTGTGATTATTACACCCCTCCTGGAGACGAGAAAACTGAGCCCACAGAGGTTTCATAATCCTGCCTGGTCTACACTGACGTTAGCTCTTAACACTCAAACTTCAGCTCTGGTGCCTCGTTATGAGATGCAGTCTTCATCGTTCTGATGATCGGACTGCTCTCCTGTACTCTTCACCCTTTCCCCACTCTGCCTCCAGCTTCCACACAGACAAGAAGTTAGTAAAACATTGAGAAATGTTATTATAGTCACATGGTGCCAGATTCCATGGGGTTCCACACATCAGTCTTCCTGGCATTTGAAGACAACACTAAAGAAGACAAAATGAGTTTGTTTCACAGAGAAGAAGTCATTTGGGCATATATTTATCTTGATTTGAGCCCAACAGAGCATTATTGGTAGAACCTGTCGCCCTCCTCTCTGTGGTCTGAGGAAGTTTTCAGTGGGATCCAAGGCAGAGAGCCCTCAGAATTACGATTCTTTCATGTCGTCTCTGGAATTAGTTGCAGTTGCTCTGAAGGGCGTGTGCACATCCGTGCCATGGAAAGCGTGAGGTAACTTTAGTGGTGGGTGCCAGTGTTTGGCATCCATATGGCCCGGCCTCCCTCTGCCAGCCCTGCTCCTGTGAGGAGGTCAGGCTGTTTAAAGGTGAACGCTTGGCTATAAAGAGAGTAACTGACTCCATTTGTTGGAAAGCTGGTAAGAAATTAGGAAGACAGCCAAACGCTGACCTTTCTCTGATGCAGCCATGTTGATTATCCACTCCAGGTTCCTCAGCAGCCTGTAGGACGAAAGGGAGAACAGTTCACCTGCCAAATTTTCAGAGAGTGGAAATGCTGTTGGATTTTTTTTCCTTCTTCAATTTTGTGATCTCTTGCTCTTCTGATTCAGCCTACTCAAAATCCCATTCACAATAAAATATGCCTTTCATCAAACACTGTGTAAATGAGACTTATAGACGTAAATGTATTTTTTCTGTAAATAAATTCTGATTCCTCATTCGTTTGAGGGCTTCAAGAAAAGTCTTTACAGAATCTACAGTAAGAGAGTGATTCTCTGCAAAGTACTCACAAAGCGTGGACCTCGAGGAGGCAGCCCTCCGAGAACTACGCAGGGACTGACTGACTGCTGCCCCAAGCTCATTAAGTGGAGCTTTTCCGGCCCAGTGATTGTCAGCCTTCTACAGTGTAGAAATCATCTCATCGCAACCAGCTCCATTACACAGTGAAATTATGAATTACAACCTAATTGCCTGAAATTACAGCTACCCAGTGAGTGCTGCTGCATATCATAAGCAGAACAGACTCATTCCTTTACAGCTAATAAGAATGTTTCTAATCCTACTCAGGACTCCGGTGCCACCTTTCATTCCTGCCTGTCACTCATCTGTGAGCCACATTCACATGACAACTTCATCAACAGACTCTGTCAACTCGTCTGTGGTCCTACAGTTGTCCTGGGAGACTGAAGCATCCAGGAGTTGACCTGCCTTCCTCTTGCCCTTCCCTCACCTCCTCAGTGAACGTCCCCCATTTCAGAGACCCACCTCTGTGCCCACCTCACCAGGTGTTTGTCTTTGACAGCTCTTGCACCAAATTCTTTGCGCCAGTATCTCACTTTCTGGCTGCGCATAATCTCTGATGTTCCTGAGCTCTCATCTTTGTATTTACTTTCTTTCATTGGCTTGTTTTAATCTGACCTGCAGGGGCAGAGAGATAAGCTAATTACATTCCTCTGTTAAAGGCACAATCATTGATCCGTGAAAGGTCCCTCTTTTAATTTATTTATTTTATGTCCCACTCCCTGTCTTCCTTTTATGTCAGTCCTTATACACAGTGTTTTGTTTTATTTTTAATTTACATAAATGTTTCTGTGCTGTAGACCTCTCTTCTCTTTTTCCCCTCAGCACTCGAATTTGCAGGTCTGTCCCTATTGCTGTGCATACAGCTAGTCTGATGTGTCTGGCGGCTTCCTAGAACTCTGTAGTGGTCACCTGTTCACTGTGCCTGACAGCCAGGCTTCCCATGACCACAGAAAACGCTCCAGCGCATCTGCTTTTGCACATGTCTCCTTCGGTGCTGGGTGGGAATTTCTCTGGAATACGTGTCCAGGAGTGAGACTGTGGGGTCCTGGGGTGTGCACGTTCTTACGTGGACCCAGTCCCACAGTGCAGCTTTCCAGAATGGCTCGCCAGTCCATCCAGTCACTGGCAGCATAGGAGGGTTCCTTCTGCCCCCACATCCTGCCAATTTTTGTGCTAACCATGGTCTCTTTCATACATTCTTTTTCTGGGTTTAATTTGCTTGTTGCTGAAAGCATCTATCCTTAGAAAGTTCTTTCAGCAAAGGTCTACAGGGGTAGATCTTTCTTAATCTTTGAGAATGTTTTTGTCCACACTCTTGGTGATATATGGTAGTAAGTATATCATCATATAACATAGGTTCCTATTGCTGCTCTAACAAATTAGCACAAACAGCGACTTAACGCAAATATGTTATCTCACAGTTCTGGAGGTCAGAAGTCAGAAATGTGTCTCACTCGCTAAAATCGAAGTGTCATCAGGGCTGCGTTCCGTCTCAGGGCTCTAGAGGAGAAGCTGCGTCCTTGCCTTTTCCAGCTTCTAGAGGTGGCCAGCATTCCTTGACTCATACCCCATCCTCCCTCTCCAAAGCCAGCAGCATAGCATCTTCAAACCCTCTCTAACTCTGACACTCCTGCTTCTCTTTTTAAAGGACCCTTGTGACTACTGGGTCCACCACATACTCCGGGGTGATCTCTCCACCTCAAGATTCTTAATCATTCCTGCACATTCTCTTTTGCCGTGTAAGGTAGCATATTCACAGGCTTCAAGGATCAGGATGTGGACATCTTTGGGGGCCGTTATTCAGCCTACTACAGTAGTCTCGTTAGGTATTGGATTTTAGGGTGACCTTTTTTTTTTTTAATGATATTCAGCAGATTATATTGAGACTGACACTGTGTCAGACACCGTTCAAGATGTTGGCAATACAGTTGTGGATGAAACAGACCAACACCTCTGCCCTCAGAGCCTAAGGTGTCTATCTCTCCCACCAGTCAGCTATAAGATTCTCTCTTTATCTTTTTTCTCCCCACATTGGCACTACAATGTTTCTAGATGTGCAATTATCTTGTCATCCTCCTGTTCCAGTTAGCTCCAGCTACGTAGTGAACCATCCCAAGCTGAGAGTTAAAACAATCATCATTTATTATTCCCTGCGTGGCTCTGGGGATGACTGGGCTCCAGGGGGCAGTTCCCACTTCAGCTCAGATGTGGTTACAGTCAGATCATGGCTGGGGCCAGAGGCATCTTAAAGGCTTCCTTTCTCGTACTTCTGGTGGGTGAGGTTGGCTGTTGTCTGGGACTTTAGCAGGGACTATAGGTCAAAATACCCACAAGCATCCTCTCCAACTGGCCTGGGCTTCCTCTCAGTGGGGTGGCTGGCTTATAAGGGCCAGCATCCCAAGAGAGAGCTGGGCAAAACTGTCCCGCCTTTTCTAACCTGGCCTCAGAAGTTACATGATGTCATTTCCACTACATTCTATTGATTAGACACCATCTCTCAGGCCAGGCATATGCAAGGGGAGGAGAATTGGACTCCTCCTCTTGATGGAGGGAATATCAAAGAATTCGCAAACGTATCTAAAAACTGCCATACCTACTTAGCACCTGATATGCTCTTTCAGTCTCAGGATTCATGTCTGTCTCTCCATCTGGAAAACTCATCTCTTTTCTTTTCAAATATTGTTTCTCTGTCATTTCTTTTCTTCTTCTGGAACTCCTTTAAAAGTGTGTTGAAGCCTCATTCAATCATTTACATCTTTCAATGATTCTTGCGTATTTTGTATCTCTTTAGCTCCCTATGCTGTGTTCTGAATTAATTTCTCTGTGCTATAGTCTAGTTCGCTAATTCTCTCTTCAATTTTATCCAGTCTAGTGTTTAACCTGTACATTGATTTTCTTTTACTATTTTCCATGGGCTTTGTTCTCATCTGCCTATTTGTTTGATGTCTGACTATTTTTCTTTCATAATTTCTTATGCTTTTGGAAATTTATTCCTTTTATCTCTTTAAGGATCCTAAACATATTTATTGTGGCATAGTTTACTGTTTGCTTTATTTTCATTTCTTCTCTAGTGAATTCATCTCCTGATTTAGATGCTGGCTCTCTTGTTTCGTCCTCCTTTCCCTGCAGTCATCCCTCATGTCTGGCAGCTTCGTGGCCCTAGGCTCCTAGTCATGGGAAGCCTAAGTGTCCTGTTCCCTAGTGATGTTGGATGATCTACAAATTAGGTCTCTGAGGCAGTGGGTGGCCTGGCAAAATCCAGACCAGTTTTCACTATTAATTTATAAGATTAGGACCCTGCAATTTGCTGGGCCCCAATTTATACAGTATTAATCCCAGACCAAAATGTGTCCCGGATTTGGGATTTTGAGATCTTGTGGTTGACCCGTCTGCACAGCTCTGGGGCTTCTTTTGGGCTTCATGGGCAGCACTCTCTGTCCACTTTTCACAGATGGGTGGGGGCAGGAAGGCTCCAGGCTTTAGTCGGGAGGATCAGCTCAAACAGCCTAACTTGCAGGAGCCAACTCTCCATCTCCGGCCCCTCCCACCGTGAACATCCACACCCTGCTGTGCTGCGGCACCAGCCCCCTCCTAACCTCTCCAGCTTTATTTTTCACTTTGTTTCTGGCCCCTGGTGATTTTATTGCCTTTCTTTTCACCTTGGCAGCGAATTTCTTTCTCATTGTTCCTTTTTATGCAGCATTTCTATGCATTTTTAATAGGAGGTGTGCCTGTTTACTTTAGCCGAGGCAGTCATATACTGGAAATTCTCATTTGTTCTGTATACAGACAGTTACTCCCTGTTTTCATCCTACTTCCCATTCTTGTCCTTCGTAGCAAGTGCCAAAGCTCAGTCTAAACCCTGCGGACCTTCTGGGTAGATTTCCCCTTGTATATTTTATAGAATTTGACTTTTTCCATTCTGTTTCTTTCATCAGTACTCTTCCTTCCACTTTGCCTTTAAGGAATGTGCCCAAATCTTCTTTCTGCTAATGCCCCAAGCACTTTCTTTTCACTGTTACGATTTTAATCTTTTTTATTCTTTACTCATATTTTCACGAGGTCTCCAGAGTTTGAAGAAAACAAGGCATTTACGAGCCTTGTTGAAAGAGCTTGATGAAAGAGCTCAGCTGACGTTTCAGTGCTGTTGTGGAAGCTTTTCTTTTTTGCTCCTAGGTCAGCTTCCTTCCACATTTCTGACATCTGCTGTTCCCTCCCTCACTCCTAGTGGACGACCTTCATGCTTTTCTCTTAGGGAAACAAACCGTCAGACCAGACCAGACCCCTTCTGTTTCTCATCCTCATTCTCCAGTCTGCAGATCTCCTTTCTAACTGCCTCTCCTAACCTCTTTTCCTCCCAGAGAATAAGTGCTCCCTTCTTACTGTCCTCCGTGATCCTTCAATCCAGCTCTCTTTGTATGGGCTCTCTCCTCCACCCCAACTGCTGTACCTCTTCCCTGGGCAACCTTATCCACACACAAAATTCCTAAACTGTACATTCATTTCTTATGTCCTTCCCTCTGATTATATTTCTGATTGTTGACTGAATATCCTCACTCACATACCCTGGTTTCATCAAATTCAACATGTCCAAAGCTGGCATCTTTATTTCTCCCTGAAAAATCAGCTCCTCCTTATGTTTTCTCCGTTTAATTCAGTTCCTCAGGTCCACTAGGCACATTGCATGTGCCCACTAGCCCCGTGAGGCTAGTGGCTACCACAGGGGATGGTGTAGCTATAGGACATTTCCATCATCACAGGAAGTTCTATTGGACGATGCTGGTCTAGGGTGTATTTTTCCATTTTTGCTCCCACTTCACTGACTGTGTCTGAGCCGTCATCATTTCTCACCTAAACCGTCAGTACATCTCTTGACTCACCTCCTTTCTCGTCCTCACTCCAGTTCATTCTCTTCTCTAATCGAATGATTTCTATAACATCCTTTTCTCCCTTTGGGAGTCATGAAGGCATAAAGAAGAGAAGCAGAGTTCTGGCAGTTTAATGTCATTTCCTTACTTGAACTCTTCAGAGCCTCCCCCATTGCCTGTTCCCCTTTATTTACTTGCTGAACGACCACTCAGCCTTCAAGATTGAATCCCCTGGCATTTCCTGCTCTGGCAAGCAGAGGCAGTGTTTCTTCTACACTCTGACACTACTTGTTGGTATCCCTTTTTGGAGCATGTTTCACATGCTAAGGCTTGGCTAGACTCTGAGCCCTTGGAAGACAAGAATCTTACCTTCATCCTCTACCAGGTTTCCAATGTATGTAACAAATTAACTTCTCTTCTGGGCATCTGGATGGGTTCTGGCTACGTGGTCACTTTAGGGGAAATGAGAAAACGGCCACTCAAATCACGTTCTGTGCTCTGTTGTTGAAGAAGTCCCGTAGAGGAGGGTTGTGGAGGCTGATGACCGACCCTCCCACAAGTCTCGATTCCCAGCTCAGGGTAGCTCTGATTCCTGGCTGTCCCCTGACCCCAAACCACGTATTTTGTAGAGAGAAACGTATGTTCTTTAATAAAATATCTTCAATGAAAGGTGGGTATATTAGTTAATTACCTCAAATTTGGTGGCTTAAAACAACAGAAATTTATTCTCTCACAGTTCTGGAGTCCACAAGGTCAAGGTATTGGCAGAGGTGCACTTCCTCCAGAGACTCAGGGGACAGTCTTTTCTTGCCTCTTCCAGCTTCTGGGAGCTCCTGGTGTCCTTTGACCTGTCACCTACCTCTGCCTTCATCTTCACGTGGCCTTCTTCTCTGTGTCTCAAATCTCCCTCTCCTCTCTCTTACAAGGATACCAGTCAGATTTAGGGCCCGCCATCAATCCAGGATGATCTTTTCTTGAGATCCTTAATTTGATTACATCTACAAAGACTGTATTTCAAAATAAGGTCACGTTCACAGCTACTGACTGTTAGAACTTGGTTATATCTTTTGGGGGGGACACGAGTCAACCTTCTACAGTGGGTGAGAATAAAAGTGAGGACTCTAACAGCTGTGTCTCTCCCCTCTCCCAAGCCTTACTTAAGCTGAGTCAGCAAGCTGGGTGTAGCCTTCATTTCTGTGCCTTTATTCATTTAAATTAAGACCCCTACCCCCAAATCAAGAGGGGACAGAAGGCTGTTTAAGTCAGCCAGCCGTCTCCCTGTCTTTCCATGGCAGGCTCATTCCACTCCTTTCAGCTGGATTTTTTTCACTGCCTAACAGGTATCATTAAATAGTAAAGCGTAGACCAAAATAAACATGTTTATCGTCCTTTCGTTTTCAAAGACATTCTCTGAGTCCAAAGCTTTTAAAATGAAAATGGATATTTAGATTTAGAAATTATTTTAAGCATGTGTGCCTGTGTACAAACACACTGTGGAAAATGACTAATTGTCTCTGTATAGTAAGAAGGAACTTACTATAAGAAAGAATAGGTACTTTGTCTGTTTTTATTTTTCAGTATCATCTAAATTTTCCACGATGAACATGTTTTACTTTAGTGATGGGAAGAAGAAACATTTTTAAAAACTATGGCAAGTGTTGATGAAGTTTCTGTAAATTGCCAGGATAATTTGTATGTTTTAAAAATGCAAGATGAGTGGGCCGTTTGGGATTCTAGGAACAGACCACTGATTGTTTTGCGAACAATTCAGACTCTTTAGATTTTGGAGTGGTGTTAACATTGTTAATTATTCAGGACCTCATCAGACATCACAGCAGTAGAAATTGAAATCCATGGTCTCCACCAGGGAGGTTTCCCCCGGTGCCAGAATGCTGGCCTGATGGGAAAATGGGCCCTCTCCCTTTGCCATGCAGCGTAACGAGGCATCCACACTGTGCCCGTTCTTGGTCTGTCAGGGACCCTTCCAGGATGAGCCCTGTAATCTCTCACCAGCAATACCATTTGGCTTTGACAGCCATGCATTTTTCTAGTCTTGAAACTATTTTGAGGTCAGCCCTGTGTCTGGCGTGTTATGAGGACGACACACATTTCCATCAACCCACAGTTCCTGGAAGCCACAGCAGAGCATTAGGCACTTTTTAGCTGTTCACTATTGAATGCAATTTGCTCACAGGGAATTTTCCTATTTTGGCTTCTAATATGTTGATGAATTATTGAAATTTCAATTACTTTTGGTTCCCAATTTAGCAGGATAGAGACATCCAAGATATTTAATATGAAAAGCTTTCCAGTCGCTTTTAGAGAAGGATTTACCTAGAAGGGTTTTGGCGTCAGGGCTGGCAGGGGTGTGGCTCCGGTCCCTGGAACTAAAGTGCTGCATGGCCTTGGGAGTCCCTTAGGTCAGTGCTGCTCAAGGGTGGGCCCCAGACCCGGGAGCATCCACAGCTCTTGGGAGCTTGTTACATATGCAGATTCCTGGACTGTGTCTCCATCTGCTAAATTGGAATCCCTGGGGGTGGGGCCCTGGGCTCTGTGTTTCAGCAATCCCTCCAAGGCATTCTGGTGCACCAAAAAGTTTGGAGAACCCTGCCTTGGATGTCCCAGTGCTAATTCTTCCCAGCAAGGCCTGGTGCACATTCGCAAGGACCTTTGGGTGCTGTAGGTTTTGCCGTTTAAGATAGACATCGTACCCAATGATATAACTGTGACCAAGGTCATCAGAAAGACCAATTTCTTAGAATTGTCTTCATTTACTTGGAATACCTCCCTTTGTCACTGAGCCTACCCATAGAAAAGCAGGATTTGGACATTTAAGTTCCTTGCAGGTAAATGTGTATTTTAAATGTAATTCAAAGGGCCCTGTCTTTCTGTTTTTATACAAAAGGGCTATTTAGGTGTTCCTTCCCATGAAGTCCCTGGGGAAAAGCTGTGGATGCCGTCTCTGTCTCTTCCCCTTGGCCTCACCTGCTTTCCAATGAAGCTCTCTCTTCTACACCATGTATAATGAATAACTTGCCGTTCTTCTAGCACAGTGTGTCATCCTGATGCCTGTGCTCTTGCACAAGCCATTCTCTCCTTCCCACCTCACCTCACCCCTGCATTCACCAAAGCCAGCCCTTACTCGTCTGTTAGAACCCTGTGCAGCTGGAAGACTCTGCTTAAGTACTGGTCCTCTCACTCCTTCCTTAACCCTTCCCTATGACGTCAGATGGAGTCACATTCATCCCCTTTTCTGCTTCCTAGAGCACTTGAGATAGATATTTATAGCACTCATGTGCACTTGTTTGGAAATTATTTGTCTTTCTCCTCTTTGCTCCAAGTTCCATGAGAGTGGAGATTTCATCCTGGGTTCTCTATCTGCAGTGCCCAAGACAGCATCAGGCACATGAGGCTGAATGAATAAACATTCATTCAAGATGGTCATTCTGCCTCTGCTGGAAGCTTCCAGTGCCTTAGAAAACATGTCCACCTCATACTTGTGAAGAACAAATGATGGCCAGCCAGTGGCAGGTCTAGTTAAGAATACAGTGACTTTAATGTGGACTCCGCCAACTTAACTTTTCACTGAAGCTGATCCCTTAATGTAAATGAAAGCCATGCCATCCACCCTTCTGGCTGTTTTGGTCTTTGGCCAGGGAAACCACCACTGTATCTAAAGGCATTATTATTATTTCAGGTTCGAGAGCTTCAAACTCGACTACAGAGCGTGCAGGCCACAGGGCCCTCCAGCCCTGGCCGCCTCACTTCCACCAACCGCCCAGTTAACCCCAGCACTGGAGAGCTGAGCACAAGCAGCAGCAGCAATGACATTCCCATTGCCAAGGTGAACTCCTGGGAACAGGCAGGAACACCCCCTGTTATCTGGAAGCACCAGCCTCTACCGAGCATGGCCGCTGTGCAGGCATGCTATTAGCTCAGACGGCCCCGAGGGGCTTCCCTGGGGTCTCACACAGGCCTCCTATGCTGGAGCTGCAGGGAGAGATAACCCACTAATAGTTTTAAGTCTCTCTTGTCTGCAACCTGGAGCCGGCTCTCATTAATCAGCCGGCTGAAGCATGTCACAGCTGTCAAGTCGTTGTGGAGAGTGAGACGTTTTGTCAGGTTCTACAATACTAAGGGGTGGATGGAGAGTTGCTCTGGAGGATTAAGGTGCAGCCCAGGAGGGGACCCTGAGTAATGAACCAATGATCTCCCCACTCACAGGACTGACAGCCTTGCCAGGAGAAAAATAGATTATGATGGGCGGGCCATGGCAGTTGTGAGAAGTAGCCCGAGCGGTTTTCTGCCGCAGGACGCCCTGCCCCCCACCCCACCACCTTCCCCCCGCCTCCTCCCGCCCATATGTCGAGTCTACTCTGGAGAGACTATTCAAAGGATACATCTCCTCTTCCCTGGTAGCCCTACCAGTCTCCACAAGGCTAGTTCTCAACCATCAAGTTTTGTAAGTTAGTCAAACTAGTGTTTCTCAACCAGAAGTGATTCTTGTCCCCCAAGGGATATGTGGCAATGTCTGGAGACGTTTTTGATGGTTACAAGTGAAGTCCTACTGGCATCTTGTGGCTAGAAGCCACGCATGTTGCTAAACATCCTTCAGTACACAGAACAGCCCCCCACCACAAAGAACATCCAACTCAAAATGTCAGTGGTGCTGAGGTTGAAAAACCCTGGGTTAAAGAAATGGTAGAAAAACTGGACAAGTGAGTTTTTAAGAAATCGATTAACCAGTTTAGTTGCCGTGGTTTAGCATAGCCCTCTATAAACACAGTCTCAACAGTTTATCTGGGGAGTGACATGTCATTTTTTGATAATTTTTTGTTTTGTTTTTTAAGATTGCTGAGAGGGTGAAGCTATCAAAGACCAGATCCGAATCTTCATCGTCTGATCGGCCAGTCCTGGGCTCAGAAATCAGCAGCATAGGGGTGAGTGTTCACAAGAAGCAAGGCAAGAAAGCGCCCAATAGAGCTACCCGGACAGTGGCCTGTAGATGATAGAAGAGCTCCCAAAGTTCACCTCCAGGAAACCAGTTGATTATAATAATAAATCATACCTGATTTCCTTCCGCAGCATCAACTAAAATGTATAGGTTTCCACATGCTGAATTGCTTCTTCAACTTTAAGGGAGGTTTTTTTTCTCTACTTGAAACTGTTCAGAAAGAAATGATTTAGATCTAGTTTCTGGTGATGTAGATGAAAGTCTTGAAGTATCTGCTTTATATCACCCTGATGCCCTAGAGACGGAGTGAGTCAGGAAGGCCCTCTGAAAGGGAGTGTGCTCTCCAGTGAGGATGAATGCCGCCTTTGAAGGGGAGCCCAATGCATGGCAGAATGCAACCTTCTAGCTCAGTATTAGCATTTTCATTTGTAGAGTTTGCAAACTCCCTGGGGCTGTAAGCTGATGGATCGTGAAAAGGGAGTAGTTTCAGATCCCTGGGGGATATCTTTTAGGATTGGGGATGAGGCTCGGAGAGCCAGCTATTTGATCCTCAGGTAGAGAAGGCCTAAATAGCACTTCTGGGGCCCTAATTTAGAATTACGTGCTGAACAAAAGTTGCACACATCCACATTCCATGCCAGAGCCAAATTATGAAAATAAAGGAGTCAATCTCTCTTCTCTACAGCAGCCAGAGACAGGGGCCTGGAGTGGCAGGGGGTTCAGGAAGCGGAAGGGAGTCCAGACTATGTTCAATATCCAAAATTTTAAGGACTCTAAGGAGGCATGATCCCCCTGCCTGCTGCCCAGTAGCACGTGCTTGGGAGATGCAGCTGTATTCTGACCCTGTTTTCTGTACTGCGTTCACATCAGTTAGCTTTTTATACTAGAATCGTATTATACAAACTGAGAAGGATCAGGGTAACCATCTCCTGGTGTCTGATCCTTAAGGAATATCAGCTTTAGATTGTTTTGCATGCAAAGCATGGGGACAGGCGTCCCTGAAGTGACACTGTCCAGAGGGGGATTAATGCTTACCTGTACAGGTATCCAGCAGTGTGGCGGAACACCTGGCCCACTCTCTTCAGGACTGCTCCAACATCCAAGAGATCTTCCAAACACTCTACTCACATGGATCTGCCATCTCTGAGAGCAAAATTAGAGAGTTTGAGGTGGAAACAGAACGGTTGAATAGGTAAGAGGAAATCCTGTATATTTGAATACTGGTGGGGAGCTAGCTGCCCCTCCTCCCCTTTGCAAAGATCAATTCAAGTTGGCTTGTGTATTGTGACATAGAGTGATGCTGTCAAGCTGGTGGGAGGGGCACTTTCTATCATCTTGCTCATCAGCGGAGTGCTTACAGCAGTCAGCGCTGGCTGCATGGGCATGGTGTGACCTGTGCATTCGAATACACAAGGTCTTGTGCTTAAAAGGATGCCACACTTGCTTTACTGCTCTCCTGTCGCCGTTCTAAATTCTTAGTAATTTGTGAACCTGGGGCCCTGCCCTTTCATTTTGCAGTAGCCTTTGCAAATTATGTAGCAAGTCCTGAGAGCAGTCCATATAGAATGACAAGTAGGTCAGAATGACGAGATAGCTCCTAAGCATGCAGGCCTGTGCTGCCAGGAACCACAGAAAGAGGTTCTGGAATGTTGAGTTAGCATCCCAGGGGTGCCTGGAGCTACAAGGAACCAGCAAAAGCAATGTGATAGAGGCGTTCCTGGGATTGACGGCCATGCTGGTCTGACCTCCCTGCCTTATTTCAGGGTTGCCTCATTTTATTTATGCTCTTTGCAGATGTGCACAACCCTCAGTCCCTATGTCCTATCCTACTTAGTCCTACTTAGAATGATTTTCTAAGTAGGTCTAACTGCCCTGCTTAATCTTACCAAATACCCAGTTTTATGAATTCTTCCCAAGTCTCACGACAGAGGTTGTTTGAGTTTGTACTCCTGCCTGCTGGCAGAGACTGACTTGTGTGTCATCCCAGCAGTGAGAGAATTGCTAAAAAAGCAAAGGAGAAGGACCAGAGCCAAACCATGGTAACCACTCCGACACACAATTGGTTCTACAGTGCAGAATGGATTGTTGAATGGCATCCAAGCATGGCCTGGCTGCCTTGACCTACCAGTCGGCATTGGGAGGGCATAGTAAGAACTAGAAAGGCTTGTGAACTAACTGGGAAGAAATGTGGATACCGCTCCCCATTCATTGTTGCTTAATGCCATTCCCCTTGTGTAGGGCAAACCTGGATAAATTGAATTATTGTGTTAGTCCTCCCTGATTTGAAGCTGTTTAATATAGCACTTGAGAACCAAGGAAATGTGGTAATCTAGGTCATTTTAAATCTTGAAATTAAATGGTTTCCTTATTAAACCCAAAATACTGAAGAGTGACAGTCCTGATGATTACCTTGTAGAGAAGCAGCCCTCTCAGTATAACAGGCCGGGGAGTGCTTAAAAATGGAATCAGATGTGCTCTTTGCAATTTAATGAAGTCAGATGCCTGTAGGGGCCCTCTGTTTAGTGAGAATCTCCTCTTACTGGGTTTGGGATTTAACAAGCCTGCTTTGTGGTTGAATTCAGGGGAGGTTCCCTCCTTTTCAATTGTGTGCACCTAGGAGAGACCAAAGAAGGAACTATTCGGTGTGTAGCTCACGTTATTATGGTGCTTAACAGCTTAAAGGGCTCTCACAGACAACCACTTAATCCTCAACTTGGGACGACAAAACAGTCCCATTTTGCAAATGAGAAAACAAAGGCTTCCATGTTGAGTGACTTGCCTTCAGTCCAGGGCTATTAAATAGGCTGGCTGTAATTCCAACCCCTGCCCTTTGATCTCACCTCCATTGTTCCCCCCATGATCATAGCTACTGCTAGACAGGGAAGTTCTTAGAAATAATCTACCACTGTGTCCTGATGTCTGTTATTTTACTACCTCTCCCGAAGTTGGAGGCCTATTGTGCTCCCAAAAATGACAGCCTTTAACTTGTGAGGTGGGTGGATCATACGTACTCAGAAGTGTGTTCCCTCATTTAACAAATCTATTTTAAGCACCTGCTATGTGCTAGGCTATTTGGCTTGAGAAGGGAAGTAAAACACACAAGGTCCCTGCTCTCATGGCACTTATATTCTATAAGGGGAGCTAGCTAGACCAGAAGCAAACAAATAAAATTATAAGAAAGCTCCAAGAAGAAAGTAAATAGGACACTGTGATAGAATAACAGGCAGGTTGATTTTAGAGAGGTAGCCAAGAAGGCGTCTCTGAAGAGGGGACATAAAAATTGAGATTTTAAGGGGAAAAAAAAGCAGTCATATGACAAACTAGGAAGAGTCTTATGAGCCAACTTATCAACCTCAAGGCCAGAAAAACCTTGGCATGAAGTAGGAATTGTACAAAGGCCGATGGAACTGAAATGGAGTGCGTGGAAGGAGGAGTCACGTGGGATAAGGTGGCAAAGCCGACAGGGCTGGGTGGGATGTGGATGTTGAGGCCATGGACAAAGTTTGCTCTTTATTCTAAGTGTCAGTGGAAGTCGTTAATAGGTTTTAAGTAGGAGAAGAATGGATCTAAGTTTCAGAAGATCACTCAGGTGTGGGCGAGAGTAGAAGCAGAGAGATTATTGCAGGGGATCAGTGTGGCCGAAGTGGAGGTGAGGTGATGGGTTCAGTGTATGTTTGGTGGTAAAATCAATGAAAACTGCAGCTGGATTAGATCTGGATGTAGGAGAAAGGGATGGTCTCAAAGAAGATTCTCAGGTGTCTCACCCATATTGTTGGGTAGATAGTGGTGACATTTACTGAGACGGACAAGATGGGGGAAGAAAAAGTTTGGAGAAAATCAAGAGTCCCATTTGGGAATGTTAAATTTGAGGTGTCAGTGTGACACCCAATGAAAATATCAGGAAACAGCTGGATATGTGAGACTGCCACTCAGAAGAGAGGTCTGGGCTAGAGAAATTTGGGAGCCAAGGGCACATAAATGCCTGTTAAAGTCATGGGACTGGATAAAATCTCCCTAAGGGGAGAGTGTTGATAGAGGAGGGGCTTCGATTGAGCCCTGACAGAACGCCAACCACCACAGATTTCATAGAGAATGAAGAGCCAGCAGGAGACAGAAGAAGCGGCCTTTGAGGCAGGAGGAAAACCAGTAGAGACCTATCATGACCCAAGTGAGGGAGAACATTTTAAGACGGGAGTAGCTGATTACTGGGGTGTTGCCTGGGAAGGCCCCTGAGATGGGATTGGCCACCTGGAGGTCTGTGAGCTGAGTAAACAGTTTCATCTAATTAGTGGGGACAGAATGTACCCTAGAGCAAGTTGAAAAGTAAATGAAAGAGTGGGTACTGTTTGAAGACATCTTAATGTGAACGGGGACAGAAAACTATGTTCTCATAACACCTTACATGGACTTGACCTTGTTGCCAAAGCGTCTCAGAGGCCTTAGTTATACACTCACCAGACATCTCACATGTTGTTGAATGTATCCTTATTCTGCTCTAAGATCTGTGGTCCTAAGATTTATCCTGAAGGCAAATGGCTTCCAAGCCCCTTTGCGTTTCGATGGTCACTTGCATTTGGTGTGTGTAAAACCTTACATATCTTTAAGACTTGGTGATCAGAGTACTATCACTTGGCTTGTCCCATGGAAGATGAATCGTTGCATCTAGAGCATAGTATGCTAGGACAGAAAACAGACACTGAAGACTTAGGTTTTTCTGATTTGTTTTCTAACTTTGCCATAAACTCATTTGCTCTGAATTTTCAGTTCTGATTCCTAGAAAACTTAAAGTTCCCACAACTTATCCACCACTAGTGAGCAGGTGAGGGACTGTCTAACCTGGAAGGAGCTCTGGACACAGCACCCAGTTCCTGATCCGCTTCCCATTCAGAGGCCCCGTGAGGGCAACTTCCTGTTCACTGGCTGATTCATCTTTTGCTTCTGCTCCGTAGTGAATGGTTGTGAGTGAAGGATCTGCGGTCAGACTGACCGGTTCAAATCCCAGGGCCAGGTGCTTAACTTTTGTGTGCCTCCACTTCCTCCTCTGAGAAATGGGGACAGTAATGCTTAATTCAAAGGGCTGTGGGGGGGGTTATTGACCAAGGGATCAAAAAAGAGTAGCTGTTACTGTGATGCGACTTTTCCTTTGTCCGCAAGGAGGGTGGTCTCTTGAAGCACCAGACGTAACTCTCCTGAAGGGCTGCGGTTGGCTCCTTTCCTCCACGGAGACTCAGAGCCTCACACAGTACTTGGCACAGGGCGTGTCAATGGCTGTGCGGGAAATAACCAGGGAGCTTACTTTTCATTTCTAATTTACACAGAATTTAGTGATTCTTTAACTTAGAGTTGCTTCCTTTTTTTATTTCGCATCAGTTACATTTGTGAAAACATCTGACAAGCTCACATCCTAACATGCATTTCTGGCCTCAATCTAGAGTCGACAACTAAAAGATTGGCAAATTAATTGTAATCCTAGTGTGAAATTGTGAAAGTGGTTTTTCTTCCTTTGTAGCCGTATTGAACACCTCAAATCCCAAAATGACCTCCTGACCATAACCCTGGAGGAATGCAAAAGCAACGCCGAGAGGATGAGCATGCTGGTGGGGAAGTACGAGTCCAATGCCACCGCGCTGAGGCTGGCCCTGCAGTACAGGTAGGAAATGGGCACGTGGCCACTGCAGTTTAGAAATGTGTCCACAGTAACCTTTTGTGAAAAAGTAGGACACACAGGCATTTAGAAGACATAACTAGAGGGTTAGACCAGCAAATACTAGTGTGATCTATATTGAAAATCAGTTAGCACCCTGATAGCAATTAAGAAAATAAGGAGACTGGGGGACTGGCCCAGTGGCATAGCAGTTAAGTTCGCATGTTCAGCTTCAGTGGCCCAGGGTTCACTGGTTCAGATCCCGGGTGTGGACCTATGCACCACTTGTTGCGCCATGCTGTGGCAGGCATCTCACATATACAGTAGAGGAAGATGGGCATGGATGTTAGCTCAGGGCCAATCTTCCTCAGCAAAAAGAGGAAAAGAGGAAGATTGGCAGCAGATGTTAGCTCAGGACTAATCTTCCTCAAAAAAAAAAAAAAGGAAAAGAAGGAGAATGAATATGCTATTTGTAAACAGGTATGTTTCTGCTGACATGGTTAACTTAAATATTATTTCATTCAAGTAATATCCCTCAGAATGTCAATTTTTCTATTACATATTGACCTATTCTTTCCAGTCTTTATTCACGTTTATATATATTTTACATTGTTGTAAATCTAGTGCATTCTATTACTTCAACTTGTTATAGTTTGGTAATATTGCTTAAGAGTCTCCATGTATTTCGAATGGCTGTATCCCCTGCTTCAAGTTTATATGTTGTTATTTTATTTGCTCATTTCTCTAAAAGACATTCAGATTTTCACAGACTCTTGATAGTGAAAATAATTCTATGGTGAATAATTTAATACAGATCACATCGTCATTCTTTTGGGTATTTTCCTTGGAATGAAATCCCTGAGGCAGGAATTATAGGTCAAAGGATATGAATATTTTCATGGCTCTTTGGGCTTGCTACCAATTTTTTCCCATAAAAACAAGCCAGTTTAAATAAGTACGAGTCATTCATCGATGAGCAAGTGGTCTATGAATGTACCACTTTTTTTCAGCCTCATCAGCTTTGGAATTTATCTATTTTTAAATTACTAGTTGTTTAAGAGCCACAAAACTGTGCTTTATTATTGTTTTCATTGATTTATTTTATTAGTGTCCCCACTTAGGCATATTTGCCAAGGTCCCAGAGTAGTGATGGTATCTTACTCTTGGCATCCTCTGAAAATTTCAATGTTGTTTTAAGAAACTTTGTTTCTTCAAAGAACAATATCAAACCAAAATATATGAAACCACAGTTAGGAAGCAATCATGCTAATTTACAGACGCACCAAAGCAAACAAGTAATCCATCTATGATAACGCTCGAAACAGGCTATTCTGCGCCCACAGTCTGCCTTTCATTCACATGGATGAAGCAATGTCCCAGTGCCTCTAACCTGAAAGGCAGGCTGCCCTTGGAAGGAGGAGCTGCCAGCACCCAGAGCTAGTTATTAGATCCTTTTCCTTATCTCCTAGGAAAGGAAGATGAAAGTAAAGACAATTGAAAAACAGATGGTCTGTTGAGTAAATGTTGAGTAAAGCAACATTTCCCCTGCTCAGCTGGAAGAAACTAGTTGGTTATTTGCTTGGGGGGCGAATTTTGCTACTGTAGCATCTTGTCCGGTACCACTCAGGTGTTATGCACATACTCCACCTCCTGTGCAGACATGGGTCCATGTGGGGTCATGGTGGCAACAGGAAAGAGGTCACTCTTTGATCCTCTACCTCTTGCACTAGTGATAATGGGCACAAAGAAGAGAGACTAATTTTATTCCTCTTAGAAATCCAAGCTCAAGCTCTTGTCAGAGATTTTGTTTCATGAGACAGTTTTACAAGCATCTGGTAGAACTTTCTGTGCTGATGGAACTGTTCTCTGGCTGTGCTGTCCAATATGGTAACCGCTAGCCACATGTGGCTATTAAACATATGAAATATGGCTATTGCAACAGAGGAACTGAATTGCTCATTTTATTTAATTTAAATTCTTTTTAATTTAAATAGCCACATGTGGCTAGTGGTCACTATATTGAATAGTGTAGGTCTAGGACAAAGTACTCTCCTTTCTGGGGTGTTATCTATTATTGTATAGCTATCTATTATGTCAGTTTCTGGGGTAAAGGATCTGGGAGTCATTTGGCTAGGTGGTTCTGGCTCAGAGTCTCCTCTGAGGTTCTGGTCAAGCTCTCAGCCAGGGCTGCGTCAGCTGAAACCTTAACTGGGGCTGGTGGATCTGCTTTGAGGAAGGCTCATCCACACGGCTGTTGGGTGGAGTCCTTAGTCCTTCACTGGCTGTTGGCTGGAAGCCTTAGTTTCTCACCACATGGGCCTCTCCATGGGGCTTTCAGGAGTCTTCAAGTGTCCTCTAGAGAGGATGATCCAAGAGGAAAGTAAAGGGAGGGACAGTGACCAGGATGGAAGTCACAGTGTAACTTAATAACCTAATCTTGGAAGTGACATCCTTTCACTTCTGCTATATTCTTAGTTACACAGGCCAACCCTGGAACAGTGTGGAAGAGAATTACACAAGGCTGTGGATACAAGTGTGAGGAGATAGGGGGCGTGCATCTTGGAGGCTCGCTTCCGTGGGCACATTACCTTTCCCTTTTAGCTGATCATCAAATAGGCAACAAACTTGCCTCTCCCACCTTTATTGCTTCTCTGATATTTTTCTAGATCCTAGTTTAAAGCTTAAAAAAGAACTGGGGCCACATAGCGGAGCAAGCCCTTCGCTTCGTCCAGGAATCTTCACGGGTATTTCCTCACTTACATGGACAGCAAGGCTGAGGGGCAGGTCCCCAGCTGCCTCCCACCCCGGGAACAGCTCACGGTCCTCTGCCAGAGTTGAGGACGCCATGTGCTTCTGTTTCAGTGAGCAGTGCATAGAAGCCTATGAACTTCTCCTGGCACTGGCCGAGAGTGAGCAGAACCTCATCCTGGGGCAGTTCCGGGCGGCTGGTGTGGGGTCCTCCCCTGGTAAGTGTGGCCCGAGTTGCTCCACCCCTCTTCCTTCTCGTCCTCTGCCTCTTTCGCTCTCCTGCCCTCCATCTCGGCTGTTGGCATTGGAACACCTCCCAACAACATGAGATTCTCTCATCAAGAGTGTTTTCGTTTTTTCCTCATGACTGAGTGAGTAAATTGTTTATGTTGAATGCAGCAAGAACTGGAGTGGAAACAGAATTACAGACAAGTTAAAACAAACAAGCCCTCTTAGGAAACACATTCTCCCAGGCTGACAGTAGGACCAGATGGAGCCGGAGGCCCATGTTCGTGATGAAAGGGACCGACTTTACCACAACCTCCCTCTCTGATGCTGGTTGTTGAGGGTCTCTGCTGCCCCTGTGGCCTTTGCCTTGTTCTACTGCTTTATTGGCTGTGCTTTTCCTCCAGGTTTGTTCCTTTGGGCAGTTTTGAAGCATGGGTCCCCCCTACCTTTCCAGGTGTCTTATGAATACACAGGAAATAGTTTCACACCTTGCTCTTATCAGCTTCACAGAATGCTAACCCCAGGAGCCCAGGCCCTGCCATGGAGCAGAGGTGTCTGCCAACCCACCTCGCCTCCCTGCCCCTTCATCCCCCTGCCCCAGGGTCATGTGCCCTGTTGGCCTGATTTGACCCTCCAGATCTGCACTGCCCCCTACCTCGGTTCCTCAATTTTGAGTAACTAAAAGGGGTGTTAAGTGAAAAAGACACAAGTATGGCATCTTTCTTATTAGCAACATTTGCTAAAACTTCGCCAGTGTGTATGGCTCTGTGCAGAGGGCTGTAGTGGAAAGAGTGCTTGAGAAGAGAGAGATCAAGGGAGAAAGATTGCATCTCTCAGTGCTGAGGCCTGGATACCACCTCAGCCTACACTTTAGAATAGCGGCTTCTCTGGAGAAGCAACGGCAAGTAAACAAAAAATTGAAGTGACCGGATCACGCCAGAGCCAGAGATGGGCGGTGTGACAGGCCAGAAGTCCCCAGCCATGGAGACCAGGCCATCTTTCATGGACTGGCTTTTCTTCGAGAGCTATGAGCTCCCATTAGGGCTGGTCCTCCCAGGACACACCTTGCAAAGAAGGGCCCCTCCCGGATGCATCCCCACCCCCACCCCCCTTCTTGCCAGCTCCTCCCTCTTTGCCTGGGGTCCAGCCTTTGCATTGAACACTTGCATATTTTTCCTCCTTCAGTTTTGTCGTGTACAGGAATCTGAAGCAAATCTGAAAGAAAGGAAGTATGCTGGGTATTAATTTCCTGCTTCATATCCAAGTTACCCAGCAAGGGAGCAGGCCCCCATTTGTACAGGCAGCCATCCTCCTCTCTGCTCTCTCTCTTTTTTAATAGAATTACCATCCCAGCCCAGAAAGAGAAACTATGCCAACATTTCCATTAGAAACCTCATTTTTCAGGGTCTTTTAACTGAACCATAAAACTTTATTCCTCATATTAAACAGATCCTAAAATGATCTTGGCCTACCATCAAGTTTTTTTTAAAATATATGTATTAAGGAAGATGATCAATTACAGGGAAAAAAATCAATCATCTTGTTTCCAGCTTGTATCAGAGGAATGTCTTAAACCATTCCATCCTCGAAAGGTGCCTTTTATTAAGCTTGTATCTGCTCAGCACTGTTACTTGTAGGAGCTGAAAGGATTTAAATAAATCTGCATTTAAAATATTTAAAATCAATAATGAAATGCTTTGTATTAACCTAGTCCTGTGTAGCTCATGGATATATTTATAAAATGAGCCAGTCAGTAATAGTATGCCCACTTCAGAATTCAAAGAACAGTCAGTTGGTGAAATGTCTGTAAGATATCTCATTTGTGGAAGGAGGAAAGGCATGAACGTGGTCAGAGAAGTGGCCAGAGGGAGGGTGGGGGAATCTTAGCCTGCAGGACATGCGCATCCACAGTTCCTCCCCTCTCTCTGTAAAACTGAGGGTTGGCTTAATTTTTAGCAGTTCCCTATTAAATCTCGCTCTTCCGTTCTGCTGACAGAGGCAGCTGACCTGTCGCTCTGCCCTAACGGGCCATGTAGTTGCACAGCAGAGCGAGTACTCGTTAGTGACATTTACTCACAGTATCAATCATTGTGGTTTTTCCTTTGTTTCTTGTTGACTGCACAGGCATTCATTACGTTCATTCTACATGATTTAGACCAGTGGTTTTCAAACTGTGCCTGGGATCCTGGAGGAGTTTCTTTGGGCCTCAACAGTGGGTTTGGAGGGTGGGGAAGCTGAGCGTATGGCCCCTACCCCTTCCCAATTCAACCAGTTGCACACTAACCATTTTTGTATCTTAGGCTTTGGCGTAAGATTTCACATGAAAATATTTGGAAGACCATGGGTCTAGGCTGTAGTGATAGCAAACCATTGACTGATTTGGTCAGCACAGTGTTTAAAACACAACGAGAATGTGAACATCCTGGGCAGGGAATTCACTGTCTGGCACTGTGCCTGGTGCCCGCCACTCCTGACGTCTTGCTGCAGCCCAGTTACCTGGCTCCTGGAGGCATTTGGCTCACCACTGACTGTGACCAAGCTGAGAGAGAAAGATCGGGGATAGCATCAGTACAGAAAATACAGAGCCAACGTAAAGTTCTCCTTTTAACCATTAGTTTTGTCTGTCTTGCCTACACGAAGCTCTAACCAAAGCTGTAGATATGGTGGAGATCTGGCACGGTTTGGCCTCAATTTCTCCCTGCCCTCATTCACAAGCAAAGTGCCAACACAGGGAAGAATGGCCAAACAGTAGACTTGTGACTGAGTGGGAGGAGACCCCAGGAGCCTAGATAATTAGAAAATCATAGCATGTTAGAGTTGGAAACAGACCTCAGAGATCACATTAGCCAACCCTTCATTTGTCGATGAGAACAGTAGAGCCGAGAGCAGAGGAATGCTATCCTAAGTACAGTTTCTCAGTGACAGAGCCAGGCCCAGAACACGGATCTCTTCACTGGCTGTCCACTGCTAGTTCCTCTCCACTGTGCCTCCTCAGCCCTGAGTAACTAAGAACTGATTATTCAAACCCACTCCCAGGCTTGCCCTATCTAGACCTGTGTTCATTAATCCATTGGCTTCTCTACAATGTAGGAGACCAGTCAGGGGATGAAAACATCACTCAGATGCTCAAGCGAGCTCACGACTGCCGGAAGACGGCTGAGAACGCCGCCAAGGCCCTGCTCATGAAGCTGGATGGCAGCTGCGGGGGAGCCTTTGCTGTGGCCGGCTGCAGCGTGCAGCCCTGGGAGAGCCTCTCCTCCAACAGCCACACCAGGTAATTCTTGGCCTTTCTGCCATGAGATGGATGTGTGTCTACATGTAGTCCACTGACTAGGCTTGACGTACTGTGACCCAGCTCTCGGGGACCATGAGGCTTGTTTAAGGGCAGCATTCTCCCCTGGCTTGCAGCATGCTCCATCCAGTCAGAGAATCAGAATGGGAGAGCTAGAAAGGTCCTTCTCATTTTGCCAACATGTAAACTTCAGCACAGAGAGAAGGAGTGATTTATTCAAGGAAGTGGTAGAGATGGAACCGGAGCCTGCCTTTCTGTCTGGTGCTCTTTTCCCCCATTCTGTTCTAGTCTCCATTTCTTTATAGTTCATGGTTTCCAAGAAGCATTTGGGGTCACTGAGGCCCATTTGCTGCGAACAGTCCTTAATCACCCAAGACCGAGACCGTGCATCCTGTTTCCAGGCTCTCTTCTCTCCCTTCCTCTTGTGCTTCTATCTTTTCTAAGCTCTTCTCAGGCAATAGCCTCTTCTCACATGTTTTTTGCTTTGTAGAGTGATGCGATATTCAGAGCATGTGCTTAGTAGATACTTACTAATGAAGCTGAGTTCAAGTTCCGTGTCTGTGAATCTAGAAAACTGAAGTGAGTACTTGAAAAAGATGGGGAGGAAAGCTGTGAAGACCTTGCTGAGCATGGTTCACTGAAGCCATTGGATTCTTTTGGATGGGAGTGGAGGTTCAGAATGAAGCCTTTTCTAATGATCGTCTCATTTCTTGCCACCACAGCCCTAAAATCATCAACGCCTTCCCTGTATATACAGTTCTCACTCTAGAAAGTACTTTGTTAGAGATTCTTATCTGATAGCCAAATCATAAAAGACAGGCAGGGTAACTTACCCCATTTTCGCAGGTGAGAAAACCTTGGCTCAGAGATGTGCAAGTAACTTGCCTAAATAAGGTCGCATGGCTGGTAGATAAGAGAGAAATCAGGACTCAAACCCAGGACTTCAGCACCAAGCATATTGTTCTTTCCACTATACCAGTTTGGATCTCATGACATTAAAAAACTGTCTACGTGCAGATCAAGTAACCAAAATCACATAAGGGTAGATTGAATCTCAGAGCCAAAGGAGAAATACTGATGTTTTCTTGGTCCCTGAAAGCAATTTAATGTTCCCATCTCTCTTTCCCGCTGATAGGACCCAGCCGTCTGCCCAAGTGCATCCATTTACCGGTCCTGGACCAGGTGCCTCCAGAAAGGGGACATTCCCAATAACATAGTTGGCCAGGTGCCCACAAACACAAGGGACTTATTTCCTCTTGACTCCAGCAACACTTGTCTTATTCAGTGAAGCACAGATTATAATTTTTTTTTCTTAAAACCAGATTTTTCTATTTAAACCCAGAAAGCAGATACTCTTCTTAATGACTTTTCCAGATGTACATAATCTATCATTTCCATGTTCGTTCAGAATAGAAATGTCGTTCTCATGTTGTCAGTGATATTGTTCTGTTGAACTAGTGAACATTAGAATTGGGTTGACAGGAAATGTGTGCTGTTTCAGTAGCTTATAAGGTGTGTGTTACAGATCTTTTGCTCATACCTCCCCACTCCCAAAAATAATTTTGTTGTTTTAATCTAAATCAGATACAAATTTTAAGTCAGTCAGGAGTGGGAGCATTTTCTCACCACCTATTTAGTGGAGACCCTGGTTGTGAATATTTCTCAGAAATATTTTAACATATAGATGAGCCTTAATTTTGAGACAATTTTCTTAGAGAAATTTAATTTTAGGTAATATATTTCTGTAGGTTAAGATAAATTCAGAACACAGTTTCTGTTTTCAAGGTTGCCCTCACTAAAGAATAACCTTTGAACTACGTTCAGTCTTAAATGGATCTTCCTATCAAAATACAGAGGTCTTTAGCTCAGATTTCATTCAGTTCTCCTTAAAAATTCACTTTTACACTCCCCACCCAAATCAGAGCAGCTTAGAGTGGGTACAAAAGAACCACACACAGGGCATTCATGTGGCACCCCACATTCTTAGGAGTTGATACAGCTAGACTGTTTATGTTAAATGTGGGCTCAGAAAAAAGTCCCAAACCACCAGACTCTTTCATAATTGAAATAATTAATTTTGTTTGTAAATCTTACCATTCCAGCTCGGATATTCCCCCATGTCAAGATTATAGAAAAAAGAAAGAAAAGGAGCTTCCAGAGTTGCAGTTTTATGTGGCTCCATAAATCCCCTTTCCTCCCACTGTAACCAGCTGGCCTAGAGAATTCTAATCCAAGTGTCAGCCAGCTGTTCCTGAAGGTCTCAGGAAAAGAATGCTGAGTCCCAGGCCTCCAGATGCCTTTCTGGCAGCACACATGCAGCTCTGGTGATAGAAGGGTCATGATTTTGAAGAGGAGCAGCGGAAGAGTAGTTACCAGCAAGGAGAATAAGAATGGGAGCTGACTCGTCAGTTGACTGTTGGCAGGAGCCCAGGGACCCTGCTATTTCATTTTTGAAAAATACAGCCATGGCCTCATCAGAAAGTGTAACTGTCTTAATGGACAGAGTAACTAGGTAATGTTGATTGCCTGTATAGCTTTGTCAACATATCACAACAGAGAGGCAAATGGACTCAATTGTTGGGAAGTGGGACTAGGACTTCTTAATCAAGCCCACCCTTTCTGTCAAGCAGCACAGTTTTAGTTCATTTGGTGGAAGCACAGTCATCGATCTAAATCTACAAAAGGATGTGTGGCCAAGACAGAATAAGCCGCAGCAAGTCTGCCCTCATGGAGAGGGGTATTGAGTACCTTTTGTGCTGCCATCAGGTGAGGATCATGGTGAGCCGTGTGAGTCTGTTGTTTGCAACCTGGCTGTGAGCCTCTGGGTACCCGCAGGAAGCGAGGGTACCACCTAGCTGAGCACGCACAGTGGGGCAGAATCTCCAAATTGGAGTGGAGGGTGGTGGAGCTCCAGAGATGCCCAGTCTTCACCCTCTAAGCTAGTCTTCAGTAAGATAAAGTGTCATGGGAGTGGGAAGAAGGGTTGAGGACAGTGGAATCGTGTCCATTGAAAGGGTGAATGGAATTGAAACAGCCATCCAGTCAGGACAGGCCTGTGCCGCCACCATCAGCAAGCTCCCAGGAATGAGAGTCGCACTAGATCTGGCTGTTATCATAGTCATCTTTTCTTTGCTCTGAAAAAGAGAAGCGCTTTCTTCATCCAAGTATCGGGAGAGTCCATCCAAAGTCCTTGGAATTAGTGCTTAGAAGTGTTAGGAAATTCTAAAGTCCAGCTCAGACACATCCCCCAACATGACAGCATGGTGCCCAGGCCTCCTGCTCAAATGTCCCTGTCACTTATTTTTTAGATTCTAAGAGAACTAAGTAGAGACCTGAAATGCTATTTTTGCTTTTTATTTCTTTAAGACCTAACTTCTGATTTCAGAAAAAAGTATATGCTCATTGTAAAAATAAACAACTAAAATCAAAGCATTAAATAAAATTCTCCATGCTAGGACCCTCATTGGAAAGGACAGTGCAAACAGTTTGGGGTATATTTCCAGAGATTTAACTGTCAATTTTTTATTAGTTGAGACCCTTGGTTGTAAGTGACAGAAACGTACTCAGCTAGCTTAAGAAGGGGTCCTACTGGGCGGATGCCGGCTCTCCCACGCAGGAGCTGCGTGCCCGGGCTGAAGGCAAGGGCCGAGGGCTACAAGAAGCCCGAGCAGCAGCGGAACCAGGCACCTGAGCACGGCCAGGCCAGGCCCATATCCGCTTTCCTCTCCTCGCTGCTGCAGGCAGGCTCCCCAGACGGCAGCCAGCCAGCACACCAGCTGCATTTGTGCACAAGGCTGACCGGTTCCACTGGTGTCAAGTAAGAAAATCCCAGGGAAGGATGTCTTGCCACCTTGCCAGCTAAGCTCAGGTGCCTACCCCAGTCATCTGTGGCCGTGGCCATCCCCACAGGAGCCACGTGGATGGAGAAGAGAGGAGCAGGTCTCAGAAGAAGAGGGAAGCCATGTGCTCCGCAGACCAAAACGTGACATCTTTAAACACATGGCTGCATCTCATTTTTAACCTAACAAGGATCCTATTATGTGGACTCTCTTAAAACTTGCTTTTTTCCCTTAACAGTATATTTTTAGACATCTTTCCATATGTGTCATGCTTTTCAGTAGTTACATAGTTTTCCATTGGATGTCAGTCTATCGTGTATTTTAACAGTTTTCTCTTCTTGGGCACTTGTATCTAGTTTGTCACTATTAGAACATTGCCACAGCCACCATCCTTGTCCTTATACCTGTCCCACTTGTGCAGTTTCTGTGGGACCAACTCTAAGCAGTAGAATTACTGACTCAAAAATTTTTAAAGTTTCAAATGTCAAAGGGCCTTCCGTACATGATCCAGTTCTTCTCCTACAGCCGGCGTATGAGAGGCCCTTTTCTTCCATCCCGTTGCTGAAACTGGCTGGTATACATTTTTTCACTTTGGCCACTCTGTAGGCAAAAGAATACCCTAAATATATTAGTGATGTTGAAAATCACTTATAAGGTTTAATTTTTCTAATGCCAGCGAAGTTGTTAGCAACAGTGTAGCTGTCAGGCGTAGTGGGTGACTATCTTGGTGTGTTATCAATGACCAAATCAGGAATAGGTCAATATTTGTTTCAGAGATGCCTGGCTTCCATCACCATTAATTATAACAGCACCTTTAAAAATGGCTGCAGAAATAGAATCTGTCTCCTAAACATCTGTGTTTCTCGTTTGGACTTCTACCTTCATCTGAGTTCTTAGGAGCTCTCTGAAACCAGGCACTTTTTGAGGACTTGAATTATCTAGCAGCAGAGTTTCCCATAACTGTATTTTGCTAGGAAATTTTCCCTCATCTAACCTCTGCTTCTCCTCCTAGAGAATTCTGATAACCACTCAAGAGCATACAGACCTAAGAGGTTTGGATTGTGTTTAGTGTTTTCAGTCCTTTGTGACAAAGAACTGTCCAAAAAAGGCGGGGGAGGAGTGGATGGATACCCACAACACAAC